GTTTTTCAGACGTAAGTCCAGTTGGTGCTATCTATTTATTTCTAATTTCCCAAAGTTCGGCGCTGGTTATGTATTCGATTATAACTGACAGTTGTGGGATTTATGATTATCCATTCGATAGAATGTGTGTCCACACTGTTCACATGGGATTCTTTCATTCCAATAGACAGAGTGTTGATATCTCGGTAGATTGTTCCTTTGGGCGGTTTAAGCATCAACACACGTAGATCTGGACCCGCTTTGAATATACTGCCGCTTTTGCGTCTGCTGACGGATTTTCCAGCTTCGTAGTTTCTTCACTGGGATTAGGGTCAAGAAATTCTCCTTCAAACCATTCGCTTTTACTTAAAAACACCAAAGATGCTGCCGAGATAGAAATTGCCAATGTCCGACATGTTTGTTTACGAACAATAGGGTCAACGAGTTCGTTGTATTCATACGCGGTGAATCGTTCACTTTAATTAGCGGTCCTTAAACTGTCATTTAAAGTACGGATTTGAAGAGCCCTCAGCCAATCAGAATCGAGTATCACACATTGTCGTTCTAGAATTAGAAGATAAAGCTACTCTGTTTTTCAATTTTGCGGTCCTTTATCGTTGATTTAAGACCGCTAAATGTAATTTAAAAACAGGACGCGTTAGCGTGAGGCACTAGCCTCCGCTGTAAAATGGATCAGTCATGAGCAGTCATAATTGTTTATATTTACGACAAAATTAGATGCAATTATTTTTTATTTTATCATTTAAATCAATTTTCTAAACACCTAATTATCAATCTTATGTAGACACAGTTGTAGCTGCTTTTCAATAATATTTATGTTTTGCCATGACAGGAAATATTAAAATCATCCACAAAAAGCGATCCATTAATTTCAAACTTGTGATAAACTGTTTATTTTAATATTTAATAATGTGACAGATAAAACACCCTGATCCTGATTATAATGATGAGATAGGGTAGAACCCACGTAAACTTGTAATTGCCTGTCAGTTAAAACTTGATATAAACTGAGGCAAACGGCCCCGTAAACCACAATCATATAAATATTGCCGTGCTTCCCTGTCGTGCTATAAGCTTTTTCCAAATAAAAAATATCGACACTGCATGTTGCTTGTTAATAATGGCATTCTTAACGAATGACTCCAATCGAACTAAATGGTCAGTAGTACTGCGATTTGTATGAAAACCTCATTGAATATTTGTGATTAAATTATTAGACTCTAAGTACCAAGTTGATCTGTTATTGACCATGTTCAATGGTTTTGCAAACGCAGCTAATCAAGGAAATGGGCCTTTAATTAGAGGGACCTGTGTATGATTTTCGAAGTTCTCTTAGCGCTAAGATAGTCTTAAGTGCCAAACATTAACATTAACTTACGACTATCTTAGCGCTAAGAGAGCTTCGAAAATCTTGGTCCAGGTTTGGATATGGGTACAAGTATGGCATCACGCCAGGAAGAAGGAAATTTACGAGATGTCCAAATGTCATCAAAAAATATTCAATAGTGTCTCTAAACAGGATTCATGTAAGTGTTTCAGGAGTTGATAATGTATGTTATCAGCTCCTGTAGCAGTATTGTGAGCTTGTTCAACAGCATGAAGCTCATGGATAGAATAGATTTCGTTATAGTCTTCCCTCATTATCTGAATGAAAATTGCTTTGTTTCTTTTCCTGCAATTTTTTGGTATTTTGTTAAAATTAGGAACATAGTTTGACGAGGAAGAATGTTTTGCAAGTGTTTCACCCGGAATATTTGCGATATGATATTTATCTGTTAACAATTGATCCCCAGTTTTGAGATGATGTATGCTTGGTACCCTTACCTTTAATTCTATGGATCATGTTCCATACCTTGGATATCAGCGTCCGTGAATATATTTTCAAAGCGTAATTTTGCCAAACTGGCACTTATTTTGCTTAAATGTACCTGTGCTTTAGCCTTTAAAATTTTATATTTATTAAATTAGTGTTCAGAGTTTTCCCGTGCTTTCCTAGCCTGTTTGCAGTCATTATTAAACCATGGTTTACGTATATGTGGATTTGTAGAGGACATAGGGAATACACTCATCGGCTATTCTGTTTTGTTCATCAAAGAATAATTGAACTGAATCAAGTGAGTGAGTGAGTGAGGTTAGTTTTACGCCGCACTCAGCAATATTCCAGCCTATTGGCGCCGGTCTGTAAATAATCGAGTATGGACCAGACAATCCAGTGATCAACAGCATGAGCATCGATCTGCGCAGTCGGAACTGAATCAAGGGCATCAATAGCAGGGTTTAGTTTGTCAGTAAAGAGTAACTCAAACAAAGGCCAGTTAGCTTTCATGAAGTTCCATCTTGATAATGGAGTAACATCAGCTGGAGTTATTGTTTTTAGAATTTAGTTATTGTCTTTCGATACGGTAGACTGGTAGACAAAACATTATCCTATTTCACCTTTGGTGAATCAATTCGAAGATGGTTCAGAATTCTATATCAAGGTATTGAATCGAATGTTCATGTTAATGGTTATGGAATAGATATGTTTGATATTTAAAGAGGTTGTCGCCAAGGGGTATCCACTCTCCCTATATCTTTATCTTATGTGCGGAAATATTAGAAATAATGATACGAAACAATACAAATATCAAGGGTATTTCAATTGGACTGACTGACTGAGTTTAGTTTTACGCTGCTTTTAGCAATATCACGGCGGGGACACCAGAAATGGGCTTAACACGTTGTGCCCATGTGGGGAATCGAACCTGGTCTTCGGCGTGACGAGCCAACGCTTTAACCACTAGGCTACCCCACCGCCCCCTTTCCAATTGGAAGCATTGAATATTTACTGAAGCTATTCGCTGACGACACAACATGTACCCTGGATGGTTCAGAACGTTGTCTCTATACAGCATTTAATAATGCTTAGATTTCTTCGCCAGATTTTCAGGTTTAAAGGTTAACATCGACAAAGCACGTCTCATGATGGATAGGATCAAAGAAAGATCGAAAAATTAAACTATGTTCAGAGCTAAATCTTAATTAGGACCAGGGTGACTTTAATCTTCTTGGAATCATACATTTTACTCAAGACTTAGATGATATGGTAGAGAATAATTACAAAGAAAAAATAAGAAGTTGTGAAACGTTAATGGCAATATGGCCCGCACGTAATCTTTCACTCCTTTGGAAGAAATATTGTTTTAAAATCTTTATCATCTCAAAGTTAAATCATTTATTTAGTGTGCTTCCTGGACCCAGATAATGACACTACAAAATAAATTTCAACAGAAATGTTTTAAATCTATCTGGAAAAATAAACCTGATCAAATTAAGAGAAGCCAAATTATCTAAGACAAACAAGATGGGGGCTTTAACATGCCAAATAGAAAGACATTAATGCATGCTCAGAAACTATCAATGGTCAGAAGGTTTTTCAGACGTAAGTCCAGTTGGTGCTATCTATTTATTTCTAATTTCCCAAAGTTCGGCGCTGGTTATGTATTCGATTATAACTGACAGTTGTGGGATTTTATGATTATCCATTCGATAGAATGTGTGTCCACACTGTTCACATGGGATTCTTTCATTCCAATAGACAGAGTGTTGATATCTCGGTAGATTGTCTTTGGGCGGTTTAAGCATTACACACATCATCATTGTCCGTGTTTCTTTATTCTACAGAAACAAATACATCATCATACATTACTGTGTACAATTTCAATTGCAATTACAATGCATTTGGAACATATTCAAATATTAAATCAAAGCTATCCTTCTGGGGATGAACATAGATCAACACAAAGCTCATTATGTAAGGTTAAGGTCAAGGACCTAGGTCACACAGGGTCGAGGTAAAGGGTCAAGGTCACGGCACCCAGATAAACGTGACGTCATCCCTCATTAACCAATCAGATGTCATTGATATCTATTTTTTGTAGCGTGACGTCATTTCTATTTATAGGCGACTCCTTCGGCTCCTGTGCCAGAACACCCTCTTTCGTATCATCAGATATAATTACGACCATAACAAATCACAGAATAATGTGTTTCTATGGAATGACAATACTTTCTTTGTAAAGTGCATCTGTTCCTATCCATGAGAACCATTATTTCAAATCTGATGTCATATAAGACCATTCATCGATGTTATGTCTATATATGCAATGCACTTGGTCGTAAGAGTGATAGTTTTCTCGACAAGGCGTATCAGTTACGTACCAAGAAATCCCAGACGGTGTACAGAACATATCACAAGCGTCTGATAAGGATGTTATGAAGTGATTATTTACTCGAATTATAAACCTCCAGCAAATATGTCAAATCTGGGCGAATGGATGTTTCAATGTCAGGCTTTATCTGGTAAAAGCAACTGGGGCATTTCTCTTTCAAAATGTATACAGAACAGTCATTATAACAAATAATTACTCTCAAATGTCACCGATGGTGGAAGTGATGTTGTAAGAACGGTGACGTGATCATGTCCGAAAAGATTCAGGCTGTTTGAAAAAGGATGACACAAATCGGGTCAATAAGGACGCCAAAATAACGGTAGTCCTCTCAAGTTTGTGTAAATACTTTTGATTTTGATGGTTTGGGTGCAAGTTGTCGTTATTTTAGTCACAATGTATGAGCAAGCTTGTTGAGGACAATTAGACACCCCAAGCAGCTAGATTTGGGGAAGTTCTTTAGGTGGCATGTAAAAGTTTGTGTGATGAACAAAGAGGAAAGTTTGGTGGATATACCGGTACTCTCTCCTTATTATTACTGTAAGCGACGTTTAGGTGTAGCAAGCAAGTATACCACTTGCATACATTGTATCCCAATTGCGTAGATTGTTTGGTCCAGACTCGATTATTTACAGACCGCCGCCATATAGCTGGACTATTGCTGAGTGCAGCGTTAAACAACAAACAAACCAAACCATTAGTTTCGCAATTGTCTGCTAATGATTCTAAACATTACCCAAAGCATTTTTTCAGACTTGATACATTAAATTTACTATTCTTTCCTTTTCACAGAAAACCAACACGAGCAATGGCCATTGTCCTGTTGGGAGTTCTCAGTCTTGCACTTTTAAGCATTTACCCAGCTCGTGGGTGTAGTCAGTCGCCTGATCATCTTCACTCTGGAACTCGTGTGAACTGCAGCTACTGCAATCTAACAAGGGTCCCTAATCACTTGCCAGGAAACACAACCATCCTGGATATAAGTCACAACAATATCTCCATCTTAGACAATACATCACTGCCTCTGCCTCATCTGCGATACCTTGATGCTTCATTCAGTAACATTTCAAAGCTTAGTGCGGATGCATTCAATGAAACAACCAGCTTGAGGGTACTCCTTATGGTTGGAAACAAGCTCACCTATACTGACTTCCCACACGAAGTCTTCCTTCCTCTACAGAGGCTTCAGAAGATCCACCTGCACAACAATGATGGCCAAAGGCAAGGCACTTACCCGAAGGCCTTTGGGAAACTTAGATCTATCCAGGAAATAAGTCTTGATACATTTGAAGTCACTACATTTGATAAACTCTTTGCAAATATGACTAACCTTACGACACTGTTGCTGGGTTTCCGGGGTTGTAAATTAAAGTCCTTAAAAAATGACACTTTCGTCTATTTTTCCAAAGTGCCCATTGCAACTGTAAATCTTGATCATTGTCCACTTGTAGACATTGAGAGCAATGCATTTTCGCATTTTGTGTCTATAAGGATCCTCAATATGTCGTATTCAGGATATTTACCTCCGACTACAGCAGTAAAATCTATGTATGGACTTAAAGGGAGGAACTTGTCCTCAGTGACAATGGATGGCGCATTTGATGGGTTTGGTATGACATGGCTTGCCATTGAAAACCAGATCTTGTCCGAGTCGATAGTGAACATTCTAAATGACGTGTGTATTGCTTCTTTTTCCCTGAAGAGAAATAGGATTATATGGATTGATGACAACTTTTGTATGTCTGGAATTTTTTGTGCGTGTATACGGTCCTTGGATTTATCAGAAAATTACATCTTTGGAAGTCCTAAATTGTTCCTGATGATGTCACTGACGCCAAACATGATTTCTCTGAAGATAACGAAAGTTGCATGGGATGAACTGGATGTTCAAGGGCAAAATCTCGGACAACCTCGAATTGATAACTTAACAAAGACACTGCATCGTCAAGTGCAAAATCTAGGACCTCATATTAATATTTACTTACCAAAGACACTGCGTCTTCTTTATGTTCCTGCTATAATGTCGGTTCCAGTTCAACTTCATCAGCTGAATGTTCTGTTTGTGAATGCATCTTCTTTGGAATATGTCAATTTTGCATACAATGGCTTTAATCAATTTCAAAATATATTTGGTCTCACAAATCTACCACAGTTAGATATATCTGGAAATCCGCTAGGGGGTATATTAGAAAATTCATTTGACAAGCTACCTGGCTTAACATATTTAGATATGACCAATTCTGATCTTGGAAACCCGGAACACTACCTTCTGGAGAATGGGCAGCGACTTCTCCGGCCTTTACGGCGATTAAGAAGTATTGTTTTAGCTAACAATAATTTGATGTCTTTCGATAAACACATGTTTGCTGATAACCCTCTTGAAAAAATTGATCTTTCAAGGAATCGTTTTAGAAGCATACCCTTTGATTTGACAAGTACCCCCAACCTTCGTAATCTCGACCTCAGTTATAATTCAGTGGTAGATTTATCCAATATTGAAATGACCCTCCTGGATGTCCTAGCCTCCAACAACAGCTTCACCCTGAACCTGAGTGGCAATCTTCTGTCCTGTGGATGTCACAACCTGAACTTTATTCTCTGGTTGTCCAACACCAACGTTAATCTCGTCCCAAGTCGCACATATGGTTGTCTCCAGGACGATGGCACCATCGATAATACCTCACACTATGCCGAGAACTATGAGAAAGTCTGGAGGACGTGTTACGGGAGATTGATGCTGGCGGGAACTGTTTCAGGGTTTGCAATGACCATTCTTACTATGGCTGGAATGTACATTGTTGTTGTAAGAAAAACCTTGCTTGTAAACATAGTGCTGCGATTGTTTGGCTACAGAACTACAGTCCGTCCTTTACGGCGGTTTGACTTCCCGAACGACGCCTACATCGGCTACAGCGATGTCGATTACCAGTACGTTTGTCACACTGTGAGAGAACTCCTGGAAGATAGACATGGATTCAAACTCTTCCTAAAGGACAGAGATACCATCCCTGGAGGACAAATAGCCGACGACATCATCAACGGAATAGATTCCAGTTGGAAGACGGTCCTCATTATCACTCAGTCGTTTGTAGAGGATCAGTGGTGCCGCTTCATTGTCAACCATGTTGTGTATTCGTCTTCGAGAATGCCCGCAGGGAGCATTGTTCTTGTGTTGTTTGGGGACGTGAGACGAGGGGACATCCCTCCAACCTTACTGAACGTCGTGGAGGAGAGACACATCTTCAGTGTGGGTAGATACATGGCCGATGAAGGCAGGCTGTGGGTGGAGGTCAGCCAGTGCATCAAAGTGAATACAGAAGATGGAATTGCTTAATGACATGTTCAATATTATTGGAGCATGTTTGTATTTTCTAGACCATCTTTCTTTGGCCATGCTCGTTCACATGTATTTTAAATATTAAAAATCTGAATTATGTTTGTATTTCTAGATAAGTGCTTATCTAAGTTCAGTGAGACAATTTCAAGTGTAAGTACGAACATTGATGTTATGATAACCAACGTAGTTAAAGTAGTGTCTTGTGGTTTTCTTAGAATATGTTCCATAGGTCCTTGAATGGCATGTAGAAGTGATTCACACAACGGTAAATCTATGGATGAGAAATTCTTTAGTGAGGTGAGGTGAAATTGGGTTTAACGTCGTACTTGAGAATATTTCGCTCATATGACGACGTGCATGCATGTGTATGTGTATGTGCGGCTGCTTGTACTAGCCCAGACTGAAGATGGTTTAATAGTGCTAGCCCACTGAGATACCATGCCGCAGTGAAGCATGAATACCCAAATACATTATACTGACTCCGAGCCGACCAGTCCTTGTTGTACCCATTAATGCCGAGCGCCAGGTAGGGACCAACAAGTACCATATTTTAACGTCTTTTGGTATGACGCGGTCGGGGATCAAACCCGCAACCTTCCGCTCTCCGGGCGGACGCTCTAACCACTACACCACGGAGGCGGTTAGAAATTATTTAGTATAAGGAACAGAACGTTTCGGGGTATGTTCTTAAGCTAGGGTGCAGAGAGCGTGTATATGTGCATGTGTGTACAACAAAGATAAGTTGGAAACAGTGTGCGAACTAGCCACTGGCCCGCTAGCCCGTGGCTAGTAAAACTCAAGTCGGGCCAGTAAATCTCCACAGTGACTGGCCTGACTGGCTAATGAATTTTCATGGGGTTATGTTGTAAATATATCACTCTCTACGACTTGTTAAGTTTTAATACACTTTTAAATCATCCAAGAGTATGGCCTGGTACAAATGTTCATCATATTAGCAGCTTAATGATGAAACCGGTGTCATGCCGACGATGTCTTATTTTTGTAATATTTTGCTTAGTTCCAACATTCAAATTTCGCGCTAGTGGATTATTTTGTGGACTAGAAACTCTCAGGCAAGCTAGTCCGACTGGCTAGCAGAATTTGGGAACTATTTCGCACACTGGGTGGAAACATAGCAAGGAAGCAAGTAGTTAATAGGTACCGACTTGGTACTCCGTGCGTGCGTGCATAGGAGAGTGCGTGCGTGCGTGCGAGAGTGCGTGCGTGCGAGATTGCGTGCGAGAGATGGTCAGGCATTTGGCCGTCACGTCGAAGAAGCCCGAAGTTCAATTCTCCAAATGAGTACAATGTGTGAAACCCGTTTCTGGTGTCCCATAGGTTAAGCCGTTGTGTGAGTACTAGGTGAACAAATATGGCTGAAAATTAATTAACACTGTTTGATTAAAGAGGTGTTTCAATGAGGCGTCGTATTTCTACACAATTTCTAAAGATATTGTTGAAAATAACGATATGGTTTAAAATCGTTTATTTGTTAAAATGGCTTTTTTGTAATAAAGAGATTAAATATTGTGTTTGTTTCCGTATCATTAGTGTTTGGAATATGATTTGACGTCACATCGGAATATTTCACCTATATCGTGAGTGTCCACATAATGTACAACAACTGACTGGTACTATAATTTTGTTTTTCCTAAAATGGGATAGATACGATACGGAAACACTACATCTGGGGAATTTCCTTTCTCTCTTACAAATCCTGGGCAATACAATCATCTCCGTTACATTTTCTCCGGTTCCATATTCTCATTCTCAGCTCCGGCAGCCTACAGTCATCCCATTCTCAGCTCCGGCAGCCTACAGTCATCCCATTCTCAGCTCCGGCAGTCTACAGTCATCCCATTCTCAGCTCCGGCAGCCTACAGTCATCCCAATCTCAGACCTAGCAGTATACAGTCATCCCAATCTCAGACCTAGCAGTTTACAGTCATCCCAATCTCAGACCTAGCAGTCTACAGTCATCCCAATTTCAGACCTAGCAGTTTACAGTCATCCCAATCTCAGACCTAGCAGTCTACAGTCATCCCAATCTCAGACCTAGCAGTATACAGTCATCCCAATCTCAGACCTAGCAGTTTACAGTCATCCCAATCTCAGACCTAGCAGTCTACAGTCATCCCAATCTCAGACCTAGCAGTTTACAGTCATCCCAATCTCAGACCTAGCAGTCTACAGTCATCCCAATCTCAGACCTAGCAGTCTACAGTCATCCCAATCTCAGACCTAGCAGTCTACAGTCATCCCAATCTCAGACCTAGCGGTCTACAGCCATCCCAATCTCAGACCTAGCAGTTAACAGTCATCCCAATCTCAGACCGACCTAGCAGTCTACGGTCATCCCAATCTCAGACCTAGCAGTCTACAGCCATCCCAATCTCAGACCTAGCAGTCTACAGTCATCCCAATCTCAGACCTAGCGGTCTACAGCCATCCCAATCTCAGACCTAGCAGTTAACAGTCATCCCAATCTCAGACCTAGCAGTCTACACACATTTCCGTGGAAACCAGACATCCCATTCCCAGCTCCTGCAGTCTCAGGTTATCCCATTCTCACACCTAGCAGTCTACACACATTTCCGTGGAAACCAGACGGTGATACAAGCTAGTTGTCACGCTGGACATGCGCATCCTGACAACTAAGGTGATGACATGTAAGATTGAAAACTGTCTCATCACCTGCCCAAGTGGCTCAGTTGAAACAGTGGGTTACAGTAAAACGTGATATGCGAAGTTACAGGTTCGGTTTAAGTTTTCATGTAAACATATTGTGAGTCAATTTGATGCCTGGTGTTTAAAGGCAGTTTACAGCTGTTAAATGTAAAGCAGCTGTAATGAGCCTTGCATCTGAAATAACTGAAATGTAGGACCTCCCACAAGGTGAGAATCACGCTGTATAACTTATGTGCCTTCGCCAATCTAGACCCGTGAAGATCCGAGGTAGAATCGGTCTTCAGCAATCCAATCTTGTCGTGAGAGGCGACTAACGGGATCGGGTGGTCAGGAGTGCTGACTTGTTTGACACATGTCATCGTATCCCAGTTGTGTAGAACGATGCTCATGCTGTTGATCACTGGATTGTCTGGTCCAGACTTGATTATCTACAGACCGCCGGAATATTGCTGAGTGTGGCGTTAAACCAACCAACCAATCACCATAGAGAAAACATAGAGAGACTAATAGAGAAAACCATATCCTGGGCAGGAAATGCAACGGCACATCCGCAAAGCAGGAAACCATCACTTCTTTCCTGTGTGTACTGTGTCCACATGATAACATGTAGAAATTATAGTTCAAATCTGAAAATACTGGTTTTACTAACCTCATCTTATAAGAAAAGTCAGTCAAGCTTAGATCAACAAGACATTTACAACGCCAAGAAAGGAGACTGGAAGTTGAGTCTGGACCTTCAAGATGCCTTTATTCGTGTCCTTATTCATCCAACTTACCGTCATCGTCTCAGACTTGCAGCTGATGGGCATAGATAACAGTTCTACCGTTTGACATACTGAGTGCTCCATTGCCGTTCCCCAGGATAACCATTCCTGCCATCGGGTTTGCGCATGTGCGGACTGTAAGACTTCACGCTCATATACAGGCCCTCCGATCAGGACAGGTCACATATTAAGAGAATAACCAACGAGGTACGAGTGATTACAGGAAATATGCCCGAGTTGAAATAATGTCCACAGTGCCGAGCCTTGGCGAGGCACTGAACATTATTTTAACGAGGGCATATTTCCCTTAATCACTCGTACCTCGTTGGTTATTCTATTTATTACCCATAATGTAATTTAAAAGGAAGAACCACGAAATAAAAACCACCGGGAAACAGACTTGTGGCCTTAAACAGCTGATTCGTATTCATGCGCGTATTAAACCTAAGTTCTCCAGCGGTAATAACATTACTACGCTATGGAAATAGTACATCATAAAATCGCTGTAAAATACAACAAAATTATTATGTCTGGAATAATTAATTAACATTTGTTAATATGATGAAAATGATCTTTTAAATATATCATTGAACTAAACAGCTAAACATTTATTCGATCAAGTCAGTGCGATGGACTGACTGACTGACTGACTGACTGAGTTTAGTTTTACGCCGCTTTTAGCAATATTCCAGCAATATCACGGCGGGGGACACCAGAAATGGGCTTAACAGTGCGACGGAACATTGTTCGTTCACGACTGACGTGTTTTCTAGTGACGGGTGACGGTGTAGTGTTGAAACACTACAGAAGCGTAGTAGGGCCACGGTGAAAAAAATTTTTGGTCTTACTATCTCCTACGTAGTACTTAATATCTCCTACGATCGATGCTCATGCTGTTGATCATTGGATTTTCTGGTTCAGATTCGATTATTTACAGACCACCGCCATATAGATGGAATATTGCTGAATGCGGCGTAAAACTAAACTCACTCACTCACTATTAAAGGTATAACACTCACGGCACTAAAGCTGGGGCCATATCATAAGTCTGGGCTAGTACAAGCAGCCACACATACAGACGCATGCACGTCGTCATATGAGAGAAATATTCTTAAAGGTCACATGCAACCAAAACAATTACATAATTAAAACACAATTATCACTTATTCATGGCATATAATATACATTGCTGATTATGAAAAAACATATAAACAAAATTATAAGCGTACAATCGCAAATCAAAAGTGCAATATTTTGTACTTGGGTTTACTTCCCAAGAAACGAAGCAGCCGGGATACCGAACCCAGTCAGAGAGGGTTGGTGTGCACTCAAGTGTAACGGCTGGTTCATTTGCAGATTCCCTCACGGCTCATTGTGTGTATATATAGAGATGTTATTGTTGATTTTGTAAAGACATGCTCATTTTGTGTGTATAACATTTTGCAATCAACAGACATCATAACATATCATGTGTACAAGTATCACACCTGCCTGTCTGTGTAATTACATAATGTGACAAAGACCGAACTCGTGCCATAAATCAAT